GGGTGAGGTTTCAGGACCCCTACTCGTGCAGGGTGACCCCCAACTCATCCATCTGGCCACGGAAGGGTGAAGATGTGGAGGAGGCTGCTGTGCCTGCCAGGCTGCAGCGCCGGGGGATGCAGCCCCGGGTAACCCCAGCTCTTCCACCGGCTTGCAGGGACCTGGTAGGAAAGGTCCCCAGGGGAACGTGCCCATCGCTCCTCCTGGTGCCACGGGCTCAGCTGCAAAAGGGGAAGAGCTGCCTGAAATGAAGTGCCCAGGGAGCAAAGGCAGCCTGTGCTCTGGGGGCTTTGCTCTTTCCAAGCCGGTGCAGGTCCCACTGGGGCAGCCGTGGATGCGCAGCAACGGCGAGCTGGGCACAGCCCCGGGCTGGGTTTCCAGCTCCGCAGCGAGCAGCGAGTCATGGCCACAACCCCTCTCCTACACCACAAATCCTGCTGCTGCCTGTACCCAAACCCATTTCTCCTCCAAAAATTTCAGTTTCTCTCCTGCCGGCTCCCTGGACCCAAACCCATCTCTCCTCCAAAAACTCTGGTTTCTCTCCTGCTGGACCCCTGTGTCAGCAGCCAGGAAGATGTCTGAAGAGACATCTGTTTCACAGCTCCTCTCACCTTCCCCCTGACCCCTTCTCCTCCCTGCCCTCCTGCCCTTTGCGTGTCACACGGGCAGTGGCACATCCCCATGGGACAGTGGCTCCTTGTGCCCCGTTGGGGATTGCTCCCAGTCTGGGGAAGCAGAAATGGGGGGTTCAAGACCGTTAGCAAAAGCAGCTGATGATTTCAGTGGGCAGAGCAGGGAAAATAATGCCAGCAAGGTCTCTCCAGGGGACAGACGGACACAGGAGCTGCTGCAGGCACAGCACAAACCCCAGAAGAGGATGGAGAGGGCCAAACTGCTGGAGAGGGTGAGCAGAGGCAGGAAGGAGTGAAGGGAATGGTCTACATCGCTGAAAAGGGACAGGGGCCGATGCCGGGGGGAGCTCAGCGTCAGTGCTGTGCTGCTTTGGCTGCGCTGCGGGAGGCAGATTGCAGAGCACTGGTTTAATTTCAGGTCAGAGAGGAGTTTGTCACCGTTTTCTGCATTTCGGTTTTGCCTTCAGAGGTGAGCAGTGGCATCAGGGAAAGAAACCCAGGGAAGGAATTAATTAAACGCTCCCAGCAGGGCGCTGGCTCCTGGCACCATCCTGCCCTCCGTGACGCACCCAGCCGGGAGAAGCTGGAGCCAGGGACACAGCATCTGCTGTCCCATCCTCTCCATCCTCCTCATCAAAGCTCCTCTGACAGATGCCTGGGGGGCAGAGGTGTCCCTTCCTCAGGGCAAAGGCTGGCTGAAGATTTTCTGTGCTGGCTGTGCTCAGCCTTGCCACCTGCCAGCTCCTCTTCCAGCAGCAAAGCCACCAATGCGCTCCACTGGAGCAGTTAATTAGGTGGCAGGGAGGGGTGAGGGCCCAACCCCAAGGAGAAAAGAAATCAACCCCCCGCTGGAAGGACCTTCCCGTTTCATTGGTGTGGGTACATGCATCAGGAAACTTGCAGCCCCAGAGACCGGGGATGGGGAGGGTCAGCAGGGGCCCTCTCAGGGAAGGTGGTGCTCCCAAAATAGCTGTGCTACCCCGCGCCCGAGGCTGGCAGCAGTTCGACTTGCTGCAAGGCTGGAGCCGTCATTTTTCCGCAGCATGGCGTGCAGGGTGGTGGTGGGATTCTCAGGGAGAGAAACGGGGTCCTGTGGCT